TTTTAGATGGAATCCTGTTCTGTCACCAAGCTGGAGTGTGGTGGTGCAATCTCGGCTCACTCACTGCAACCTCTGCCTCCCAAGTTCAAGCGATTCTCCTGCCTCAGCCTCCTGAGTAGCCAGGATTACAGACGCCCAGCTACTTTTTGTATTTTTAGTAGAGATGGGGTTTCACCATGTTAGCCAGGATAGTCTCGATCTCTTGACCTCATGATCTGCCTGCCTCGGCCTCCCAAAGTGCTGGGATTATAGGCGTGAGCCACCTTGCCCAATCGTTAAAATATTTTTATGATAAATGTTTCTTAAGTCAGAAACAGAAAAGGGATTGTGAACAACACAAAGTGGCATATTTTGTTGTTTTAAAATACTTTCTGTGGAGCAAACATGGTCTTGGCATTCCCCTCCTCCCTCATGTGGTAGAAGATCCGCTGAAACCACACAGGCAGTGAGACAGGAAAGAACCTAATAATTTCCCTTGGATTTGGGGTGCTGAGACATAAGTAGTATGTCACTGTGGTGAAGTGAGACACTCAGGAAGTATTCAGTCATTTGGAACTTTCTGCCCTGGACCCCCAGGACATGACCCCTCCCCTTTCCACCCTTCCTTCTGGCCATAAACCCAGCTGGGTCTTGTCACCTGTGGCAGTGGACTCTACCTGACTTAGCACCCTCAGAAAGCTCAGAAGTAGCTCTTAAGGGGCATTGCCAACTCACGCGATCTGTTCTTGGTTCTTCTTTAAGGTCCACGGTTACTCTTTCCCACAGCTGCTGCCACTTCTCAGGGGCTTGGTTCAATTTGTGCTCCAATTTTTCAATTTCCTGCAAAGAAATGAAAAGTTTTCTGATCAGTATTTCATAGAAATCAGGATGTGCCCCAAAGCCATACTGCTTCTGTACTAGGCCCAGATGAGCAGCATGGCCAGAGGGCAGTTAAGTGGTGGACATGGGTCTGAGAGGTCTCCCAGCCAGGAATAGTGGTGAGAGCTCTAGCTGGTGTGCCGCACTGTGGCGAAGATGGTTTATTAGGACCTATAACTAGGCCTTTTTGTACAGGATAGCTTACATACTAGAATGTGAAATATGTATCTCAGACATCTGCACCCTTGGGCAGCCCATGGGAAATCTGATAGCCAAAGCAAGAGGTCAAGCACTGGCCCATGGCCCAGCCCTAATAGCTGAGGTAGATGAGAAGCCAGTCCTTGACAGGAGGAACCCCTCAACTTTGATGATTCAAACCAGATGTGGAAAGAATAAGCCAAGAAATACCCAAGGAAACAGATATACCTTCTGACAGAAAAGCTGGAGATCAGGGCAGCTGCCTCTGTGACAGTATGACTACTGAAGCATACTCTTCCTGGTCAGGAAACCAGAGCGGGAAGACTCTTTAGGAAGTGTCTGGCCTATGTCAGGGCTCAAAGCTATTCCTCAGGCTGGCTACTGCCAGGAGGGGTTGGTTCCGGAACATTCCTTGCAGAAGATGGTTGGCAGCACTCCCATCAGGCCACTGACCACCCACACTTCTGACCAGAGGAAGTAAAGCACCCACAAAAGCCACAGCCAAGGCCTGACTAAGGCTGTTCAGGCAACTGAAACAGCTGGGAAGGTGCCGGAAGGAGTAAATTGCTCCATTTGCTTGATTGCTTCCTTGTAATGCTGGAAAATCATTTTTTTTTTTTTCTGAGAGTCTTGCTCTGTCACCCAGGCTGGAGTGCAGTGGCGTGATCTCCACTCACTGCAAGCTCCGCCTCCCAGGTTCACGCCATTCTCCTGCCTCAGCCTCCCGAGTAGCTGGGACTATAGGCGCCTGCCACCTCGCCCGGCTAGTTTTTTGTATTTTTAAGTAGAGACGGGGTTTCACCGTGTTAGCCAGGATGGTCTCGATCTCCTGACCTCGTGATCTGCCCGTCTCAGCCTCCCAAAGTGCTGGGGAAAATCACTTTTATTGAGACTCTTTTCCAGTAGTGAAGCCTGGTCCCCCACTGATGATAGGAAGCAAATCTGGTTTCTTCATACACGGAGGGTGCTACCATAACCCTAGCCCAGAGTAAGCAGAGCCATGTTCAGAAGTTTGTAAACCATTCTTAACTTAGCCTGGTTCCTCTGGCCTCGTGCCTCCAGGGCCCCTGGTGCCCCAGGTGTGTGTCTACAGTTGACTTACACTGAAAAGGCTGGTGAGAGCATCGGGCTGAGTACAGCTGACATCATCATAGCATGGCCACACTGTTCTCCTCTGGCTCCGTGGCCCAGCTTCTCCAGCCAGGTCAGAGTCTTCGGAGGGGAAATGCTTGGGGGTTAGCATCATCCAGTCATAGGAAGGGCCTGTGGACAGGGTCTCTTCTATGTAGTAATCCCACTTCTTGAGGCTGGAGACATTTACATTGGGCTTTAGAGCCTGTTAAAACAGAAATATAGTTTCATCTTGACCCCAAAGTACCCCAAGCTCACTGTCAGGCAAACCCCTAACATTTGTAGAGTCCAGAGGAGGAAGAGTATGAATGGAGTTCAAATACCATATGTCTAAATCTTAATTTAAAAGTCATACATCAAGATAAATTATTAAATAAAACATCTTCCAATCCTCCCTCCTACATTGAGAAATGTAACTTCCTAATGACCTAGAAGGTCAAGTTCAATAGAGAATTCTTGGATTCCTCAGAATTTTATACTAACAAGTGGTGGCACTGGGAGAGATGGCCCCAGCCCCCTGTCCTTGGCCTCTCTTCTCCTCCCACCCCTATCTTTATTCTAAGGGTCTTACATGAATGATTATGTATACCCCAGCCCACAAAGTCAAACTCTGTCCACTCTGTCAAACCTGCTACTCTTTGCCATTCTTTGGGCCTTGGGGTCCATGTACTAACATAGGAGACTGACTTGGAGAAGTAGCCTGGTGAGCAGCCTGAATTTGGGCAAAGAATTCTGAAGTGCCCAGACAGAGCATGGTTTAGATGAAGGAGGGGCATCTAACCATGTACCTTTGGTTTCTTGTACTCCTCACCTCATGAGGAGGATGCAGCTGGAGGAAGGCCAGACTAGGGTTCTATGATTGGGGCCCAGGGGAGGGACCTCTCTTGGCCCTAAGTAATGGTGGAACTGCTTATCAGACCAATCTGTTCCATTCCAGGGCGTGTGTTATGTAGATGTGCATGGTGGGGCACAGTTGCCTTGAGATATGTTATCCTTCTTGGGCTCAGCTCCAAACATCTCTGCTTCCTATAGGGGTCCTTCCATGGCTTTGGTACAGATAGACTTAAAGAAACTTTTTCTAAAGTATTTTAAGGTTTTTCAGCTTAGACCACCTGTTGATATTTCAAATTCTGTTAGTTCTTTCTTTCTGGGGAAAGTTGTCTCGCTTTGATTCTCTAGAAGTTTTCCCTTCTAGGTTTTGGGAGCCAGCTCTTAATTTTTGTGGCAAGAATTTAGGGAACAGTCTCCATTTGTGTCACAACCCAAAACTATAATATCTAAACTTTGACATAGCTTTTTGGTATGAAACCTAGTCCAATGTTTATAAAAAGCTTAAACAGCTTATATATGTTAAAACTAAGGAAAACCTTAACACAAAATTTCAGAAAATGAAACATAAATGATTTCTTACTCTACCTCTATTTCCAATGGTGAATATAAATAATTAAAGAAAATGGGACTCCTCTTGTGCATTCTGTCAATACACTCCCAAATACAGATTCCCTTTTTGGCATGCTTTTCTCCTTTATCATCAAATAAAGTTCCTGTAAGTTAAAAAAAAATCCAACAAAACAAAATTCAATAAATTTTAACACTTTGCAAAAAAAAAGTATGATGCATGTAGCAGATAAAAAAGTGGAATTTTTTTATGGCTTTAAAAACAGCAACATTTGTGCAAAAACGTTAGAAAATAACTGCAAAGCTAAAGACAGGAATGAATTTCATAGCTATAGGCAAACAAATCCAGATGGAGGAAACATCTGATGAAGTTTGCCTCAGCAACCAGCAGTCTATCAATCATGACTCTTCCAAACCTCCTCCTGCATCTATATCTAGATTCAAAGAAGTCCATGCAGGAGGCGGTCTATAGTTTTCAAGAGAAAATGGAAGGACTTCAGAGTTGATTTGATGAAGCTCAGTAAAAACCATAATTTTATGTTTCTCTTTTAAGTTGTTGGCTGTTTATTATGAAGCCGTTTAAAGTGTTTTCTTGTTTAGGAGTTTATATATACCACAGATCATGGTTACTGAGACTCTAGATGACAGAAGGGTGTAGTCTGTGTCCTTGGGTGATTTAAAAATAAAAGCAGAACTTTTATACCTTTTTCAAATAGTCAATCTATTACTAACATGAGCCCACTTTGTTTTTAATAGGGAGGAAAATGTGTTGGGGTGAGGCAAAAAGTAGTTCTTTAAAAGGCCATGAAGGGTGTCTCAGCAGTGGTGTCTTGCTTGGAATGAAGTGACTCAGTCAAAATCAACATGCATTTTACCAGTTTATATATATATAAAAAAAAAAAGTCTCAAGCCCCAGATGGCATGAAATTCATAATATGTGGGGCCCCTAAGACTAATTAACAGTTTCTTCTCTACCTTTTAACTGCAGGGTCCAGTGCAGTAGTTCTCAACCTTGGATGTACATTTGAAAAACCAAGGGCTTTAAAAAAATCCCAATGCCCAGGTCTCACCTCAGACCAATTAAATCGGAATCTCTGGGGATGGCCCGAGATATTAGTTATTTTAAAAGTTCAAGTGACTCCAATGTCCAAAGTTGCGACTGCTCTAGGGGTCGCAGTAAGATTTGGACAGCCACCTTGTATATTGCTCCATTTGGCGCCTTGAGGCATGGATTAGACTGAAAGGCTGTGTGGTAGTCAGCCCCAGTTGAAATAGGCTCTAGGCACCTTTGTAGACAGAAAGAGAATGAGCTGAAAGCAGAAGAGGAGATGCAATACCTGGCCCTCTGTTCCTCAGGGCTATTGTAACACCTTGTAATTGGAACCAAGTCCAGTGGACTTTTCTTACAATATCCATATGGCTGGCTTAGGGCAACATGTACACATATAAGGAACATCTTAAAAACAGTCCAAATCAGACAGCTAGTGCCAAATACTATCACAGTCCAAATCAGACAGCTAGTGCCAAATACTATCACAGTCCAAATCAGACAGCTAGTGCCAAATACTATCAAATTACAACCCCATAATCCAGTATGTAATAATCAACATATTAAACTTTTAGGACACAGGATAATTCTTTTTTTTTTTTTTTTTTAGAGAGTCTTGCTCTGTCGCCCAGGCTGGAGTGCAGTGGCGTGATCTCAGCTCACTGCAAGCTCCGCCTCCCGGGTTCATGCCATTCTCCTGCCTCAGCCTCCCGAGTAGCTGGGACTACAGGCGCCAGCCACCTCGCCCGGCTAGTTTTTTGTATTTTTTAGTAGAGACGGGGTTTCACCGTGTTAGCCAGGATGGTCTTGATCTCCTGACCTCGTGATCCGCCCGTCTCGGCCTCCCAAAGTGCTGGGATTACAGGCTTGAGCCACCGCGCCCGGCAGGACACAGGATAATTCATTGTGTTTAAGTTTTTCTGCTAAAGATCTTAAAAATTATGACTCAGCGTGGTACGGTGGCTCACGCCTGTAATCTCAGCACTTTGGGAGGCTGAGGCGGGCGGATCACTTGAGGTCAGGAGTTTGAGACCAGCCTGCCAACATGGTGAAATCTCTCTCTACTAAAAATACAAAAATCAGCTGGGCATGGTGGCGGGCACCTGTAATCCCAGCTACTCGGGAGGCTGAGGCAGGAGAATCACTTGAACCCAGGAGGTGGAGGCTGCAGTGAGCTGAGATTGTACCACTGCACTCCAGCCTGGCAACAATGTGAGACTCCAGCTCAAGGAAAAAAAAAAAAATTATGACTGATGAATTCTAGCAGCAGTGGTTGAGATTACTTACTTTATCATCTTGGCATATAGAGGGTAGCTACCACAGCTGTTCCTAAACAAGGTTTCACTGTAGACTTGATAACGAGTGCATCTACCAGCACACAAGAAGGAACCGACCTCAAGTAGGCAACCTAGCCTGGACTAGGGACACAAAACCAGGCTTCTTTGATGCTGATTAGATAGGTGGCCTAACATCCAGAGAGGAGGCTGGGTAGATGATTTCTACTGAGCCTTCGGCAATGACATTCTAGGATTTGAAATGCATGTTTATTTGTTGTTGTTTTTGAAACAGGGTTTCAACCCTGTCACCCAGGCTGGAGTGCGGTGGTGTGATCTTGGCTCACTGCAGACTTGACCTCCTGGGCTCAAGTGATCCTCCCACCGCAGACTCCTGAACAGCTGAGACTACAGGAGTATGCCACCACACCCAGCTATTTTTTGTGTGTTTCTTTTTCTTTTTTTTTTTTGAAGAGATGGGGTTTTGCCATGTTGCCCAGGTTGGTCTTGAATTCCCCGGGGCTCAAACAATCTGCCCACCTCAGCCTCTCAAAGTGCTAGGATTATAGGTGTGAGCCATTGCACCCAGCCTGTGTTTTTGAGTTTTAAGAGGAAACGTGTTTCATAGGATGGAAATGCTTATATTTTCCAATAATCATGATAATCTTCCAATATATACCAAATGTATCCTTTTATCTGCATCATTTTATTTAACCTTTTCAACAGCCCTGTGTGATAGGCAGGGCTATTTAGTTTTTCAGATGCAGAAACAGATGAAGTAATTTACCCAAAGTTACTGACATTTTCTGACTCTTGATCTATGGCTCTACCTGTGGGACCAGTGGTGGGTCTCAGACTTGGCAGCATAATGGGCTCACCTGGGGAGTTTTTATTTTTTATTCTTTATTTTTGAGACAGGGTCTCACTCTGTCACCCAGGCTGGACACTGCAACCTCTGCCTCCTGGGGTCAAGAAATTCTTGTGCTTCAGCCTCCCAAATAGCTGGGATTATAGGCACATGCCACCACGCCTGGCTAATTTTTGTATTTTTAGTAGAGATGAGGTTTTGCCATGTTGGCCAGACTGGTCTGGAATTCCTGGCCTCAAGCAATTCACCCACCTTGGCCTCCCAGAGTGCTGAGATTATAGGCGTGAGCCGCCGTGCCTGGCCTTACCTGGGGAGTTTTAAAAGCTCTTGATGCCTGGGCCTTACCATCACAGATTCTGATTTCAGTGGTTGGGGATGTTGCCTGGACCTTAGAAGTTTTAAAAGCTCCCCAGGTGATTATAATGTTCAGTCAAGTCTGAGAACCACTGCACTAGACCTTGTTGCTTCTCTAATGAAGAGAACAGTCATCTGCTATAGGAGAAGCCTTGGTCTTTGGCCACATCTGCATGCTGCTAAGGTAATTTGCTGATCAGCTTAATTCAGCAAAACAAACTGCTTTGTTAAAAAACCAAAAACCTAGCCTGGGCAACATGACAGAACCCTATGTCTACAAAAAATAAAAAAATTATGTGGGCGTGGGGGCACGTGCCTGTGGTCCCAGCTACTCAGGAGGCTGAGGTGGGAGGATGGCTTGCGTTCCAGAGGCAGAGGCTGCAGTGAGCCGAGATCCTGCCACTACTGCACTCCAGCCTGGGAGACAGAGCGAGACCCTGCCTCAAAAACAAAACAAAACAAAACAAAATAACCCCCCCACCCCACAAAACAAAAAAACAAACCCCCCAAAAACACAACTACTCCAGGGAGGCAAATACCTGCGTTTTACTCCCACCAATATTTGTACATGTTGTTCCTTTCAGTGATAAAGCTGAGTGACATGGTGACCCCTGTAGGTATAGGTCAGTCCACTTAAGACCAGACCTGGCCAGGCGCGGTGGCTCATGCCTGTAATCCAGCACTTTGGGCGGCTAAGGCAGGCAGACTGCTTGAGGCCTGGAATTCAAGACCAGCCTGGCCAACATGGTGAAACCTTGTCTCTACTAAAAATACAAAAATTAGCTGCGCATGGTGGCACGGGCCTGTAATCCCAGCTACTCGGGAGGCTGAGGCAGGAGAATTGCTTGAACCTGGGAGACAGAGGTTGCAGTGAGCCAAGATTGCACCAATGCACTCTAGCCTTGGAGACAGAGTAAGTGAGACTCAATCTCAATAAAAAAGGAAAAAAAAAAAGATCAGGCCTGGGGCAGTTGTAACCAACTATACTTACTACCTTCCCAATAAGCAGTATGCAGATGCTTTAGAAATTAAGGTTTCTGATTGTGATGTGAAGAATAACAATTCCATGAGTTAACAAAGGACTGGAAGTATAAATAGGATGGGAAATGGTCTCACCAGTGCTCTTTACCTTATCAAAAGTATGAAATATCATACTAGACAATTTCAATAGGATGCCCTGGAAAGCAGTATTTCCTGATTTCAGATTTCAAACTGAGAACATCAGTAAATATTTTCTTGGAATTAAGAGTTCTCTTTATGATACTGAGCGCATATAATACATTGAACAGAGCTGGTTTTTGTTTGCTTGTCTTAACAAAAATAGTCATGTGTTTCCTCTCCCCCTGTAACAGTTACAAAAGAATGTAAAATCCTCTTGGGAAATGTTTTTACCAGGGCTGACTTTCAGAATCTACTCATTACAACTATCACTGCTATTAAAAAAATAGTTCATCACTATCATTAATAATGCTAGCGATGTCTAAAATTTACTGAGTGCTTACTATGCGGTAGTGACTGTGCTAAGAGGCTAAGTGACTGTGTGAAGAGTTCACAACTATTTTCTCATGGGATCATCATGGCCCTGACAGGTGGGATAGTATCACTGTCCTCGTTTTAAAGATGAGGAAACTGAGGCTCAGAGAGGCATTTAACCCCTCCCCAAAATACTCAGTTGGTGCTGGGATTTTACCCTGGTCTGTTTGGTCCAGACCACAGGGTCTTAGCTGCTATTCAAGCTGTCTCCAAGGGCAGGCACCCTTCCTACCAGAGTGCATCAGGGTTGGAAAAACTATGAGTCAAAGTTCCTTCTCAAACAGTGTGATCACTTTGTGGTATCACAATAATAAACATTTTAATTTTACAAAGATGCTATAGGAATGACCGCCTGCTAAGAGCTAACATGGTACATAATTTCAGAATTTGGCCACTTATCCACTCTACATTCATAGTTCAGAGTTAAACCTTAACTCAGCTTGTCACTCTTGGGAGTAGTTACATTATTAGAATTTTCATTAAAAACATGCAGAACCAACAAAAAAGATGAAACAAGGGCATACAAACACATACCGTGCTCTAATCTTTCATAGTCTGAATCCAGGAGAAATGTTTTAAAGCGATTAGACACATAGTGGAAAGCCAAGAACTTTAAGTAATAGAGATTGAATTCAAACTCAGTTGGATACTGGTTGTGAACCTGAAACACACAAGGCAAAGAATAGAGTAAGAATCAAACAGAACAAAAAGGGATGCCAGGCCACTGAAGGCTCAACTGAAACATGCAGGAGACCATTCAGTCATTCACTCAACAAATACCTGAATCCCTACCATGAGTAGAGATGGGAAGGGAACCAGCTTTTCCAAGTACTTACTATGTGCCAGACACCAGATGAGGGTTTTTTGTTTTTTTTTTTTTTAATAAACATAATCTCATTTAATCTCTATGTATAGCAAGAGAGGCATTATTATCTCCACTTTACAATTGAGAAAGCAAAGGATCAGCGAGATTAAGACATTTACCCGATGATATTAAACAGTAATTAGCGAGCCCAAATTTAACCCTGGCTTATTAGGCTCCAAAGTCTCTACCCCACTCACTACATTATACTGTGCTTGGCACGTGATAGATATATATTAAATTATGGTTCTTGCTTTCCAGGTAACTGTGGTGTAATAGTGTGACATACAACAAGAAAAGCTATTCCTACAGAAGTTTAGCAATGAAAAGGATTGAGAAGAGAAGGTGGTGGCTTAAGGGGACAGCAAGAGATGTTTTCTGGTCAAAAGAAATATGTGTGTGTCTGAAGGCAATCCAGAAGGAGCCAACAGAACACATTTTAGAAAAATTTGTTAGCTAATAACTAAGATAATAAGATCCTAGGAAAGCAAGAATGAATGAGGCTTGGGCCCAGATTTAGGGAACAGCTTTGGAAACAGGGAGGGCTGAAAGGTAGGCAAGAGAAAGACAGTTCAAGTGCCAAGGGAAAAGGCAGGAGCTAATACCTTTTAGCTCTAATTTTTCATCAGTAAATTAGGCAGTGAGGTCACTGGGCACAGGAAAAGGAATGAGTGAATGACATGGGAGGTAGAAGGCTGGGAAAAGCTTAGAATGGTCATTGAGCCATAGCATGCTTTAGGCAAACCGTATACAGACTGTGGAGCCATCTCACGCTGGCAGAGGGTAGGCTGATGATCCTGTGAAACTCCCCAGCCCTCCTCGCAATCTCACCTCTATATTGCTCAAACAATCTCTCATGACCAGCTAGAAAATTTTGTTTGGTTGAAATAAGTTCCAGTCATAACTGCACTTGCTTAAAACCTGGTTCAAATGAACACTAAGGCAAGCTGTCTAAAAGTCAGCGTTCTCCTCCAAGTTTAATTTGGCAATACGGCCCTGTAGTCAGTCAGCTGGGTCAGCCAGAGTGAGCAGGCATGTGTGTAGTATGTTGACTGTCCAGTGGACCAATGGGAATTTAAAGTTATGATCTGGACATTGATTTATCAAAATTTATCATCTGGTTAGGAACCTGGTTTTCTGTGATGATTAAAGGGCTTTTTTTCCTACATTTTCTTATTGGCTTTTTAATTGAACTAAAATTTTAGCTTGTAAGAAATGCAAAATAAAATGGATTTTAGGAAGATGCATTAAAAAAGTTTGACTCCTATGCAGTAGGCCTGCAAACCATGAAACTGCTTCCTTGATGTGAGCCAATGCCTTCCTGTTGCATCAGATCTCCACAGGACAGCAGAGCTTTCCATGGGACATGGTTCTGAATAGCTAGGTAGTGTGCCATACTCCAGGTTTTTAGAACTGCAAGCATTTGTATTAAGTATGAGTTTTCTCCTCAGTGAAAATGAAGGGATAAGAAATCATGGGTTTCCTTGATCATGTAATATGAGCAACTAATTATAAAAACTGGCTGGGCCGGTGGCTCACTCCTGTAATCCCAGCACCTTTGGGAGGCCAAGGTGGAAGGATCTCCTGAGGCCAGGAGTTTGAGACCAACTTGGGCAACACAGTGAGACCTTTTCTCTACAAAAATTAAAACCATTAATCAGGTGTGGTGGCACGTGCCTGTAGCCCCAGCTATTCAGGAGGCGGAGGAGGAGGATCGCTTGAGTCCAGGAGTTCGAAGCTGCAGTGGAGCCGTAATTGTGCCACTATACTCCAGCCTGGGTGACACAGTGAGACCCTGTCTCTGAATGAATGAATGAAAAAATGATAAACGCTAAACTTGAATAGTTTATAGTTACAATAAAACAAGCAGATCTGACACATAATTAAGGATCAATATTAAAAAATACCTTTTATTTCCTTGTTTTGTTAGCCTTCTATGTGTGTCTCAGTAGTCAACCATGTCCCTTAATACAGCAATTCTCATTCAAATGCTTGCCCCTACTAATACTTATGCACAGCAAAGAAGGCCCTGGGTTGGACTCTCCACTAGGCCTGGTTCTCTGGCCTTCCTGCCTCCTTCCTTAAGCATTGCTCAGACCTCAAGTTTCCCCCTCAACCTGTCCTGTAATGCCATACAGAGCTCTCCAGTCTGAGCTGTGGCTTTGGAATCAACAGCCCCACCCCAAGGGGCCAATGATGGACAGGGGGGTGACTCAGATTGTGGGTGCTGGTACAGAAGAAGGGGACAGGGAAACTGAGGATGGAACTTGGTTCCCTACCATCTGAGTCCGGGGAGGAGAAATCTGCAGTGTGCTCAGGCAGGGTGAGCTCCAAGGGCAACTGCCCCAACAGCCCTTGGAATAAATCTTCAGTAGTCACAGGTCAGCCCCTCGCTCACTGTTTCCAGGGAAGGAAGAGTTCTTTCCACTGATCCAGTCTACAATATGTTCTAAAATCTCTTTTAAAAATCTTTATTAAAGCCTCAAGGGCCAGGCACAGTTGCTCACGCCTGTAATCCCAGCACTTTGGGAGGCTGAGGCGGGTGGATCACGAGGTCAGGAGATCGAGACCATCCTGGCTAACATGGTGAAACCCTCTCTACTAAAAATACAAAAACAAAACTAGCCGGGTGTGGTAGGGGGTGCCTCTGGTCCCAGTTGCTCAGGAGGCTGAGGCGAGAGAATGGCTTCAACCTGGGAGGCAGAGCTTGCAGTGAGCCAAGATTGCGCCACTGCACTCCAGCCTGGGCGACGAAGCGAGACTCTCTGTCTCAAAAAAAAAAAAAAATCTTTATTAAAGCCTCAAAACAACATTTCTCTCAATGACTGTTCTCCACAGAAACCACATGCCTCATATATACTTGTATCTTTTCTTGATTATTCTGATATTTAATCTACTCAGGAATACAATTTTGAAGAACCACTTCTGAGGTAAAAGTAGAATGGAAATGATAATAAATATGATCTTAAGTTGAACTTACAGGCATTTCAGAGAGATCATAGACTCAGATTAAAAGTGAAATTTCTTTACAAGTCAAAAAATGCTTTCATAGCCCAGTATATTGGCCTCACTACAAGCCCTCTGCAATTATGCTAGAAAGGTTAGACAATTTTCCGAGGCCTCGTGCACCCACTCCACTGGGACAGGAATGGGTGCTTGGAGAGAGCATCATGGTGTATACACCTGGGGGCACTATGCTTGTGTCCTCCTGTGTGCCACAGGAGCACCTCCAGTTGCTGTTTGGGGTTGAAAAACAATCTGCCCCCAAACTGGGGTTAATGATCAGGTCTACTGGAAGTGGAAGAGAAGATGCTGAGCAATTTGTTTTACTCTTCAGCAATAAAGTAACAAGCAGTAAGCATTTCTTTGGTGGAAAAGAAAAGTCAGATAGACCTCAAGACTGGGTTGATTAGTACCTAGATAGTATGTTTAGCATCTGACATTAAGAAAAATAAGGAATTTTCTGAGATGTCTTTCTTCCATCATGTATGAAGAAATGAGGAGATGGCTGAACTCTTACTGGTGCTTAGATTTCTAGGAAGCAAGTAAAATCATACTTTCTCCATTGAGTCCTGCACCCCAGTGACACAGTTTGTCCACTTCATTGGCTTCTTTTCCTTTTTGCCAATGGAACTCACCTAGACTCTTGTGATTTTTATTTGCATTTTCTAATGAAGAGTGATGTCAAGTATCTTTTCATGTGCTTATTTGTATATCTTTGGTGAAATCAGTACAAATGTTTTGCCCATTTAAAAAAATAAGTTGTTGGCTGGCACAGTGGCTCATGCCTATAATTCCAGCACTCTGGGAGGTTGAGGTGGGTGGATCACTTGAGGTCAGGAGTTTGAGACCAGCCTGGCCAATATGGCAAAACACCATTTCTGCTAAAAATACAAAAATTAGCCGGGCGTAGTGGTGCACACTTGTAATCCGAGCTATTTGGGAGGCTGAGGTGAAAGGATTGCTTGAACCTGGGAGGTGGGGTTGCAGTGAGCCAAGATTTTGCCACTGCACTCCAGCCTGGGGGAAAGAGCAAGACTCCATCTCAAATTTAAAAAAGGTTGTTTTCTTATTATTGAATTTTAAGGTTTCTTTATGTATTCTAGATAAATTCTTCAGCAAATATATGGTTTACACATATTTTCTCCCACTGTGTGATTTGTCTTTTCATTTGTTTAACAGGGATTTAAAAAAAAGTTATTTATTGCTTTTTTTAAGAGGTGGGGTCTTGCTGTGTTGCCCAGGCTGGTCTTGAACTCCTGGGCTCAACTGATCCCACCTTGGCCTCCCAAAATGCTGGGATTATAGGCGTGAGCCACCATACCCAGGATCAGCCTTATAATAAGGATCAGCCTTATAATATCTGTAGAATCTGTAGTGACGTCATCTTTCTGATTTCCAGTGTTGGTAATTTGTGTCTTTTTTTTCTCAAGCAGTCTAGCTAGAGGTTTATCTCTAGCTATATCAACAAATATTTATATCAATAAATATTCTCAAAGAACAGCTTTTGGTTTCATTAGTTTTCTTTATTGTTGGCCACAAGATTTTGGGGGCCTAAAGGCAATGTGCTTCAAATAAATGTAGCTTTATTATATTATATAGAATTGGGAATGATAGGTATTTCAGCTAGTAAATTAATTCTGTGTCAGCATTTCCCTAAGTATGGTGATGAACAGAGTTTTAGACTTCTCACAGGCATCATCTGGATTTTGTTTTTCAAAATAATTTTGTATTTATTTTGTTGCAGGTTAAAAAGTAGATAGATTTAAAAGACTAAACTGCATGAAGCATTTTAATTT